CCCCCCCCTTCAACGTCGGTAACGCGTCGAGCTCGACTTAAGTCGGTGAATCGCTCTGCACCGAGTTGCAAATAACCAGTGCGGAACAGAAAATAACGTCAAGATAACGAAAGAAATAACCGTAAGGCTCATTTTCCGATCGTTTTCACGTGATTTTCTGTTCTACCTCGGTAATGCCGCCGTGATGCCAAGCAGGTTCGGGACCTTTCAGGTGAACGAGCAGCTTCGACGGCAGCCGCATTTTGAGACCGAACTTTGAAGAGTGTGAAGAGTGTGAAGAGAGGAGGCACGGATGCGCACGGAGCAGTACGAACCGTCAAGTATCTCACTGAGCGTCGTTGAGCGAGCGTTCGCACGAAGGAGAGCCGGCGGGCGATCTGTCATTAAAAACCGAAGGTGTGGGTCGCACCTGTGTCGCGCTTCAGTCGGCGGCGGCGATTATCTCTCCCTCTCTTTCGAACCAACGACGCAACGATGCACATCGCAGTACCTGGGAACTTACCTCCATCGTTTTCCCGATCGTTTTCCGCCAGTGGGAACTCGCGCCGGGACCGTCCAACGACGACGACGGATCCGAACTGTATCTTTTATCAGACTCCACCGCGGTAGATACGGTGCGTCGACCTCGAAACGGGGAACAATTTCGTGCGGTTTATCTGATCGCGAGGCGCGCCGACGAGTAACGTCCCCGCTTATTATCATGCCTCGCGCAACTAATTACGTCACTTGTTCAATATTTACACCGATGGCACTCGCGCTCGTACCGGAGTTACCTACCGGCCAAGAGAAGCTTCAGCGTCGTAGCGACGTACACTCGGCATTATTATCGAAGCGCCTTTCGAACCTCCTGCTATTCCCATCGCAACGCAACATTGCTCCAGACCCGCCTAGATCGTGTCGTCTCTACGCCGATTGGAAAATTCCAAATTACTCCTCCGCTGATTCATTTAGTATTGCACGTACAACGTTAATTACTTCTCTCTCTCTCTCTCTCTCTCTCTCTCTCTCTCTCTCGAATGAATCTTTTGCACGTGTACAATTACCAAGCGTAGCTTCCGAGGATGCACAGAGGGCACATAAATAACGCAACAAGTATGGAGAATTCTCACGATATACGTTGTGCAAGGGCTTCACCAATATGCGCGCGTTAACACGATTCCACTCGTCTCTCTCTCTCTCTCTCTCTCTCTCTCTCTCTCTCTTTCTTCTTCTCTTTTCCTTCCTTGTCCTCCAGTCTCTGTTGAAATGACGAAAACTTTTATATCATTAATCGCGCGAAGCTGAAGCGAGTCCCGTTCTCGTTTCACACAGGGAGAAAGAGACAGAGAGAGAAAGGATGGCGATCTGGCGACGTGGGCACGCGCAAATCGTAACAGCGACGGCAATTGTACCGGCGTAATCGAGTTAATGTCGCGACGGTGAGACGGTGAAAAGAGAGGGAAAAAGAAAAAGAACGTAAAAGAGGAGAGGCGGATGCGTACGAGGCGCGAACGACGTCCCGTAATAACCGCGAACAACGTTCGACGGGCGTTCCCGCAAAACTGCACTATCCTGACGCGATCGTAGTCCGCTCGGCGACTGCCATTTTACCTGTCCCGCGACCTTGTTCTCCGACCGTTCTCCGACAACACGAGCAACAGGAGGATACGCGTCGCGGCCGCTAATTCGCGGTCGGCCGTGCATACCGTCGCCGTCGATAAACCGGTCGCGAACGCCCGCGACGAACTTAGAGTATCTGCGCGACTTTACATGCGTATATCTTTTCTTTTCCTGATACATCAGTACCGAGAAAGGCGGTATACTAAATACTTGCGCGTTAGAAACGACATTAATTACTGAACGAATCTGTCTGAAATTTCATGCGGTATCTCTTTTCGCGGTTTCCAAGGAACAGCTTTTGTCTCCAGATATTACCAAAGCAGAAACAATGATTAATTAATTCTTAATTTTCAATCGGTACATGATACGATAAGATACCAAAAACAAAAAAAGAGAATGTATTACATTCTATATGCGCGACGTCTTTCAGATATTGTACAGACAAATCGCTCTTCATCTTTGATAAATTTCCTCCGACACCCTTCGGGGATTGTACAAATAAAGTGCTGTACGAAGAAAGGTGTACAACAGACTTGTTAAACACGAGCCTACTCATGACTACACGTGGTCAACTGCGCGCGGATACCGCCTTAGAACATATATGGAAGGGGCACGGCCAATCCGAGCGACGTACGGGATTGTGTGCAATAAAGGCGTGAGATATAGATAGACACATATATCTTTAGATAGCTATCTATCCTTATGCATGACTGTGTATATGTTTGCCTAAGATGGATAGCAGGCAGTAGGACAGTGAGAGATATTCTCTGTCTGTCGCACCACACCTGTGTCATGTTGGACAGAGCAAAGGGCGGCCGTGCCTCTTCCAATGTATGTTTGTATTCTAAAATGTCGCATGTACACGTACAAAGGTGACAAAGATGAAGTAAAAGACCAGAAATATGTGCTGGATGACGCTTCAGATGCGTTCCGACGAGTTCAGGTGCTGATCGTCACCTGTACATGAACAAGGACGGCATGACACTACAATAGGATAGTACGTGATTCGACACGATATGTGTGATTTTATGCAAAAGAATAAAGTTACGGCCCCCTATTAATCATGATCTTATTTTATTCGATCTCATATATAGGGTAAAAAATGTGTGTTACCTTGAAAACTTTTATTGCAATGGTCTATGGCCAGTCTCAATGAGTAAAGATTCCAGTAATATCGTTAGATTTTCAGACAGTAAAGGTTGATACTGCCATGCCGCGAGATGAAGCATTTTCCAAGAGACAGTATGATTGTGAGCAACATTTTCAAGTATTTTGCGTTTCAACTTAGCTTCCTCGCGATATGTTTCATATATGATTTCTGCTACCTCACCTTAATTTTAATTCATATATTTATATTATAATAATCTAATGAAATCACATTATACTTAAAATTTCTCTAGTTAACATTTATATCTACATTAAATATAAAAAGCTCGTTCTTTACCAAATTTGGTCGTTGGCCATGTTATGAATAATTTATTTGAAGTTTTCTGTAAAGTTGTTATAGCTTTCAGTTGATGTCTGATTTGATCAAAGTTTTTAACTTTATCATCCTACAGAACAAAATCCCTTTTAATTTTCTATACCACAAATTTCATATAATTTTAGAAAGGGGTAGAACACATCAGTTAAAGAAAAATTAAAGTTAGTAGGTATTGATCAAAGATATTAAATAATACGATATGAGAATATTTGCAGAAACTAACCAGATTATTGCAAATACTTTCTAACTTGTCGCACAAATCTTGCAAAGTCCTTGAATAATAATTTTTGTTATGCTTTTCTTGCGCTATGCTTTTTATATGAGTTATTCCTTGAAGATGAAGATTATTCCATTGTTGTACATTCGCATGGATATCTGCAACTAAATCACGTACATGACGTGCCACTCCTGTCAAGTTTTTCCCTTGGTATGAGTTAGGTGACGATAATTCTGTAATTAATTATTTATTTTGATACAGTCTGAATTGAAACTCATATATTAAATATCCTTGCGTATTGACATTTAATTTTTACGAATGACAAAGACTTACTAACTGGAGAAAATATTCTCTTTGCCGGTGTTGTGAGGTTACAACTATCCTCTTTTACACTTTTCATTTTTATAAATATACCCAATAGGAATTTACGCAAAAAAAGAAATGCTTCGATTGCTTTATGTTACATTATATTTTTACTTTCGTCACTCATGTATCCGTCAGTCCGCAATTACCGTGTGTAAGAAGTAAAACCACAAAAACGTTTACTCTTCGACATTCCATATGAATTGGAGGAAGGTTAGGTCGGGCTAACCTAACTCAACCTTTTCGTTTCGCATGTATATACTTCTACACTTCTTACACTTAAAACGGTACAAATATAGCGCATCCTTTCGGTAGGACGAGATGAAAAGAATAATAATGTACGAAAGTGCAGAAGAGACATTAGACAGATTTTTTTATTATCGGCACATTGCAAAGCGGCAAATTTAATTTAATAATAAAAAAATGTTATCGCGGTGACCATGAACAAATACGAAAATTATCTCTATTTTCTTGCGTGGCCGTGCGCTATTATTTATTCCGCATATCAATTTTATTCGTCGAGCGATTGTAAGAATACAAAGAGTTGGCAGGTGAAAACACAGTGATGTGCTAATGCTCATAACCATATAGCATATTTTTGTTCAAGATTTCGACAACTATTACGATACGTACGGTGATTTCGATTCAGGATGGACTTGGATCAAGAGAAAACGAGACATTTCTGATCAAGAGTGGCGTATATGGCTTACACTGCTTAGTAGACTGGTACCATGTACTTTTATACATCATTTTGTCAGCCAAATTACTAAAATTAACAATAATAACAATATGGTATGATACGTTTGTATGATTTTATATATATACATATTCATTATGTGTATAAATTATATATAATTCTAAAAAGAGGGACAGATATACAACACTTGTTATCTTTCAGATATTATGCTGTTGGTATATTCTGGCATCTGCAATGTTCCTTTATTATTATTTGGGTATATTAGGCTTCTTGTGTATATTGATACAACCTATATTCTTGCATATATTAACAAGTATATGCAGCAAGAGTACAGCATGGTTTATACATGTATTATTCTTATTTGTAATACATGTGTTAAAAATACCAGATGGTGCTTTCCAGAGCTGGCTAGAATTCAATGATGAGCAGCATTTTATCTTGACACTTACAATGTGTTGGATGCATCTAAGAAGTATTAGTTATAATATGGACAGTATTGATGGACAATTAAGTGGCATAAACAGGTTTATCCAAAGACTGGCCTATTGCTTGTATCTACCTACGTTATTTTTAGGGCCACTTATTTTGTATCACGAATTTGTGGACTCTGTATGTATAATTCATAATTACGTCACATATGTCAAACGGTTCGATAACATTTTATATAGCAAGTAATGTGTCATATTTTAGATTAATCAACCGTATCGATATTGGAATTATAAAAAGCTGCAAACTTTCGTATTAAATTTGATTAGATACATGTTCTGGATATACTTCACTGAATTATTATTACACTTTCTTTATATAAATGCGATACAGTATCATCCACAGGTAATTTATTCATACATATACAATATTATTCATATATAGATGATATATTAATTTATTCATATGTGTGATACGTTATTACATTCTTATTGGATGTATGTTTTACTTTTTCATAGATTGTGCAAAATTTGAATTCTTGGGCACTATATGGTTTAGGATATTGCATGGGACAGTTCTTCCTGAATAAATATGTTGTGATCTATGGAATTTGCGGTAGTTTATGTGCATTGGACGATATAAAAGCGCCACCACAACCCAAATGTATAGGCAGGATTCACTTATACTCCGACATGTGGAAACATTTTGATAGAGGATTTTATAAATTTCTCGTAAGGTAAATGCAGGATTGTGTGGTCTTACGTAATATATTATAATTGTGAAGTTAAATTTGCCAAAAACTACATGTATATAATTTTCCGATAATAACAATAGATGAACATGTTTTATACTAGATTTTATATATATAATTTATAAGAATCATAATCTTTCTTTACGTTTTTATAGATATATTTATCTACCGATTCAGAGGTCTCACGTGTACTTTGGGAAGCTGTTTGCGTCATTTTCATGTTTCACATTTGTCATTATATGGCATGGGATACAAATGAATATCTTTATTTGGTCATTACTCAATTTTTTAGGAATAATAATCGAAAGTATAGGGGTATCAATTGGTAAAAGCACAAAATATCGCAAATTGCAAAATATGTATTTGTCCTCGGTAAATACTAGGAGATTCCATTGCATGTTAGCGAGTCCTCTTCTAGCAATGTCGGCCATATCAAACTTTTATTTTTTCGGAGGGCAAGAAATTGGAAATATTTTTATACACAACATATTACACGGCAAGTCTCTTATATTCTAACATTTTATTCAAAGTTTAAAAGAATATTTGTGCTACATACAAATGCTAATTGGTTATTTTTGATAATTGTTAACATTTTTTTAATATCGTTTATGTATAAATATAATGATTCATAATTGCATAATTACTTTCTGTTAGGAAGATTTCTGTCATAATCGAGTCAACATTAACATGTTAATTTTTGTCTACAGGGTCTTGGGAAGTTTTGCTTGTCTTACTTTCTTTTCTTTATTGCTGTTGTCAACTTTCCATACATATCAAAAACTGGGAGTTGAAACGTATTAAAGAATGAAACTTTTATAAATTAACAGAATACGTGAATTCTGTTTTCTTAGTGGCATATTCATAAAAGGAATCAACTCTTTTTATACGTATCTACAACATTTCTCTCTCAAGATATATACTCCTTGAGAGACATTGGATGTAACAGGGAGATTGCATATCATGGAATACAAAGTGTGTAAAAGTAAAAATCCATATTGGAATATTTTTAGAAATTTATTTGTAAGTACAAAATATGTAGAAAAATACGTTGTGTAAACAAACTTATTGCGACTTATAATATTATGATATTTACGTTGAATTAAGACTGACTATACGAATGTGATACATTTGAGTATAATTCCTTATAGCGATTATATATAAAGACTCTACTCACTTTATGATCTGTTAGTGTGACACTATATATATCATATAGGCGTTTAACTTTATTAGTCACCATATTCATATGTCATTCTATATACCTATATATGTATATACATAAATATATATGTATGGATTCTTATTTATTATGTTTTTTTTCTCCATAAAAATTTATGTAAGGCACGTTTTACGACATAATAATAAAAATTTTTCCGGATATATAATCTATCTTGTTCATCTCTTAAGTGTGTGTACTGTACATATGCACCGGATGTTATTTTACAATCATCAATCACTGTTAACAATGTAATAACTATTACATTTAATTGTGTCTTCCTATCATATGGGGTGTATCGATATGTTTGTACACACAGTCGAACAATTATATATTGACGTTACAAGAAATTATGAAAATAATGTTATACTACAGGTGTAACAGAGTTAAATATATATGGTAACCATATATTGATACATCAATTTTGTTTTATTGCGTTTTATATGAATATATGTATGTTGCAAATTAATTTTATCGACTTATATAAATGTGATATTGTAGGGAATAAATTGACATCTCTTGCTTGTATTAATATAAATATGATAAAAAAACAATACCTAAAAATTTATAAATGCAATGAAAAATATGGTTCTTCAGTTATATTTGCATAATTAAAATTGAATTCATAGAAACACATCGATTTCCGACAGCTTAAACTCGAAAAAATGAATGAATCTGTAATCTAAAAATGCAGGAAAGCTGCGACATTCTGCAGTACGTGTTGTACATTTTGCATTGTATATTGTACAGTGCACAGTTTAGAAAAGTTCATATTATTTAACATAAAAATCTGTGGTACACAAATTTTTTCTCGTGTGAATCAAACGATCACAGTATAATTTATAAATATCTTTGTCTCGAAACATAATTTGTTCATTTAAATAAAATAAAATATTGTTGGAAAAATTAATAATTATGTATATCGTTATATTTTATGCAATTATTTATAAAAATATCCAGTATATGAAGCGAATAACTGAAGTTTATTTTTGGAAGACGACTTAGGTACATAAGAATTTATTATATAAAATCTTTATAATCGCATTTAAGTTTTCACATATTTTGAATTACTTTGTTAACTGTTGTTAATTTTAAATGTTTTTTCCTAGTTACTTTAAAAAACAATATTTGTATATTCTTTGCAATTTCTTCATTGCTATAGCGTCATAATTTTTAAATAGCAAAAATAAGAATTGAGTATTCTCAATTTAATTAACTGTTATATAAGGATAAAGTATATCTATAATATTCACGTACAATCTAACTAATGAAACTGAAAAATTTTATGTGAAAAATATAATAAAACCTTATTTTGATTAATGAACAACCTAAAGATACGTGTTTGATATATGCAACACGCTTCCTTAAATTTGGCACGTCAATATCATATCTTCCAAATTAGAATAGATCCAAATTAAGAAAATAATAAACAAATAAAACTACCAGTAAATTAATATGCCAATAAATTGCTTTTTGCATAGCCAGGAATGAAATTATAAACTACTTCTAAGCAGTTTCCTAACTTTGAAACTAAACAAACTTTGAAAGCCTAATAAATGCAAATAATTGATATTATACATATTCAATCGCATAGTATTTTGGAATAATATATTTTAAAAGTTGTCCAAATAAGTTCGTACATAATAAAATGAGTAAATGCTTCACTGTCAGTTTCTATTATTCACACAAGTATCATCACGCATAATACACCATATATGGATGTATTCTTGTTAGACGATTTCTTGAATTTAGTCAATTACGTCTCGTGGTGAAAAAACACAATGTGACAACCATTCAACTTTTTTCTCTCTCTCTGAATATTTACATGAGCTAGAGAACGCGACATTATTTTCTTTACATTATTCTTTTCTTTTAACGCTACTGTATGTTACGGTGATTATCGTGTACCTTGATCCATCGATTGTACCTCTATCAATATTGCTGTATTAGTATAAAATGCATCGCGTAACATGACCAGATGTTAACTAATGAGTCAAACTCTCGTCAAATATGCTATACTGTACAATTATATTGGTCGATAAAAATTCAACATTTTTAGCCTTAAAGAGTAAACGAAGTTTTTTCTGGTAGATTTTGATGCGCTGATTACGAATATGGCCCCAGTGATGCCAATGATGGCACACAATGCACGCAAGTGTCACGTGTCCGTGCGCACAATTTCGGCCGTCTTCCACAGTCTCGCCGACGAGACAACTGTAGTAATAGTCATGGTTAACATTAGTTATCGGGATAGTCGGCTCGCGTTGAATCAACCGAAGACGGCTAAAGTTGTGCGTACGGATATGCGACGCTTGTGAGGCTCGGTGCGCCGAAAACGTTGTATCACGTCAAGTTTTTCAGATATTCTAATACCTCATTTTTGGCACCTTTAGATTAAAATATCTCAAGAACTTGACGCGATTTGACATTTTTAGGACCAGACTCGTAATTCGCGTATCAAAATCTACCAGAAACAACTTCATTTATTTTAAGGCCAAAATAATATTGATCAAATGTTATTACTGTTACTTACATCTGCACGCTGTCTATCTGTTTACACCTTTGACGGTGATATTACCTTTGTCAATTTTCAGGATTCCGTTCTGCAAACTGTCGTTGGATACAAGCAAAATCGCATTTTGTTTGTCAGATTGCTGTATATTGATCGCTCGTATGTCGCCGTTTAAGACCTTAATTTGCTTGCAGTTGTCCGCATTTCCTTTCAGTTGGTTGTGCTGGTCGCAATACAAGTTGATTTGATGCAGAGGTATGCATTTATTTATGCATTTATTTTGTGCAATTATATCGTCCATCGTTCCAGTATGGAGATACAAGTACTGCTTATTTTCCTGTTTTACGGTTTCTTCGTTCGCCGCAACGAGGTCTTTCCGGGAGACATTCAGTTCTTCCATATTTAATGTATCGGTCGCTGTAGATTCAGGATCGCTCTTTACACGTTCATCTTGCTGTAATGTCATATTTTGGTTTTGCGAAGCAAACTTTTCCTCAACTTTGTTGAACGTTTGTAAAATACTAACGCTCGCATTTGCAATCTGTGCGGAGTGCAAGTAAATTTCGTTTTCCACGCACCCTTTATTCTCGATATCGAGACCATCGGCATATTTGTCGTGTCCTTCATTCAACGCGGTGTCGTTTTGTGCGATAATAATTTGATTGCTTTCGTTGGGACTCGTGGCATTGGCTTTATCTTCTACCTTTAAATGCATATACGTTGTAGATTCATCCTGCACGGCATTGTTGTATATTATCTTGTGATAACTGTCCTGTCCTTTCAGAGATTCCATATTTACTTCACGCTGTGTTGTCACTTTTTTGTCTTCTTCTTCCTCTTCTCTCGAAGTCTCACTGTTACAATTTACTTCGGTGTACGATTGTATCACTTCGCTGCAATCGTAAACCTTTCCCTCATCATCATAATTATGCTCATAAGCGGCGTGACCTTCCTCGTTATTTGCCGTCTCTAAATTATCGTAAAAAGGATTTTTCAGTTGCAGCAGATCATTTTGTACGTTATTCGTAAAATCCATCTTAATATTGCTATCGTTTCTCTCAGAGTATCTACAGTCTACAGCTAATTCAGTCTCTGTACCGTCAGTCTTATTCAACTGAGATTCCGTACAAATCTCAAAGCTCCCGATACACTTGTCAACAACTTGTATCATACCTTTCGTTTCCCAATTTCTGTTAATGTCGTCAATATTCTCTTTCAGAACATACTCCTCCACAACTTGCGTTCCATGCTCGTGCTGATTACTAAAACTCACGATCGTGTCGGACGCGACACTGTCGGCGTTCGTTGCGGTCTCCGAAGCGTAGTCCTTCCTTCGTCGATTCGTCCGAATTTTTTGAAAGTCTTCCTCGGGAAGATGCAAGAGCTCACCGGTGGTCGTGAGAATTTTCCCATGCCGCGTTTTCAAGTGACGTTTGTAAGTGTTTCTCGTTTTAAACCTGATAGAACACATAAAGTAAATAAAAGTAACATTAAGATCCTAAATATCACTGATAATCAACTGATATTTTGTCATTTTTAATCATATACCGAATTTACTTGTATTAAATCTAATTCTGATTTATGTTTTTTTTTTTATATATCATTGCGGAAAATAACGCAAAATGTCCTTACCTTTGCCCACAGTCGTCGCATCCGAACGGCGCTTCGCCGGTGTGCCTACGCTGATGTTCCTTGAAGTGAGATGGATGTCTGAATTTCTTTCCGCAATCCGTGCACGTGAAGCGCGTTTGATTGGAATGAATCAACATATGGTACTTCAAACTATGCCTCCTCGTGAATACTGCTTTGCATATCCGACATTCATACGGTTTTATCCCGGCGTGACTTCGATAATGAGACACCAAAGTTGTAGGCGCTGTAAAAGTGCGGGGCGGATCGCAAATCCGACACTGAAGATTGCTCCCCGTAGGATTACCCTTCTTCTTAATACGTTCCATATACGCCAATGCCATTTCCCTCTCTTCCTTGCTCGTGCCAATGAATTTGGCTTTTCCTTTCGGCTTGGTCGTCGTAGACGCTTCCGTAATTCTGATCCGACTTTCGTCTGACCACGATAAGTCTGCACAAAAATACAATGTTTGGTAAGTTACGGTATATACATGAACATGTGATAATATAAAAACATATTATTAATAAAAACTCTTATCTAGATATCAGTAGTACAAACCTGGTAAACCAAGAGAATCATCTTGACACTTTGAATCTATGGATAATTTCTGATTAACATGAGAGTATTCCTCCATATGTACACTATCAGTACCAACAACCATCAATACAATCTGAAAAGAAATACATTTGTAAAATCAATGTACATTGTGAAAAATATGTTTGAATATTCTTATATAAATCTTACTCATATGGTTTTCCTTAAGATAAATATATCACTTAACATACAATCGTAGATAAATTTAATTTTAATAGATCAACACTAACATTTTCTTCTCTTGTTGTATTCTCAAGAACATTACTGAGAGACGACATCCCTTTCCTACTGGACACCTTATCATCTAAACGTTCGAAATAACTATGATCGCCAAGGACTTTAAAATCAGCTTGATCAGAATTCTTTAAGTCAGGCACCTCCTTATTTTCTGGCTTCTGAAAACATTTTTGTTTCTCGATCTCTTTAATATTAATGTCATTTAGAAGTATCTTGCGCAAGTAATTTGTCGATTTCTCCAATATCACATCTTTGTTTTCCTTATTCAATGTTTCTTGAGGTTTCTTTGTCTGTTGCACCCGACTTTTCTTATTCTGTAGATTAGTTTTTAAATTCTTATAATTTACACTCTTTGCCGTGAATGTATCATCTAAAAGAAACATAAAGAAAAGAATCTCTATACTAATCTCAAGTGTAACACAATTTACAAAATACAGGATTTAGCAAAATTTTATCACACTTGTGTTATTTACAAATCCAGATTACTTTTTTTATTTTGTTAATCTGGAATTTTATTGCAGAAATTTGAGAAATGAAAAATAACATCGCATCAAATCTCTGCTATGGAAAAACCAACTCTAAACTGGTAAACACATGTGTAAACGAAGAAAGTAATGATTGTAGCAATAAAATAATAGAATAAAATTCTAAACATACAGGCCTCTTTATCTGCTTTAAAATATTCCAAATGTTCTTCTAAATGATTCTTAACAGATGTTCTCGCCTTTACTTCACTAGCAAAACTAGTATATTTCTGTTGGCATCCAGGCACTAACGCACAAGTATAAGAATAAAGTCTTTTGAGCTCGTCACTTGTAAAAATAGTAAACTGCTTAACAAGATGGGAAACTGGCATAGATAAAAGCTGAGGTACAGTGAAGTACAATTCTTTCCGTTTCAAACTAGTTGTTGTTTTAGGTTTGCATGGACATTCGACACGATTTGCATTCGACGCCAGCAGCGAATTAATACGCTTCTTTTCTGAATGTAGAGTTTGAGATGCAACTTCAGCAAGCATATCCAGCAATGCTGATGGACTGTCTCTTCCTACAGTATCTACAATAATATATATATAATTAGTACTTATTCTTTTTTTATTTTATCTGTCTTACATACTCTTAATTTAATATTAGCGACTTCTTAATTATACAAAAACTAAGTTTTTAAAAGAAGAAATATCGATAATATGTATAAATATTAAGGAAAACATATTTTCATGAAATTTAATATGAAATTATGGCAAAACATAAAGTAAAACTTTAATTTATCTTCATAAAGAACAGACTTTTACGCTCCTTTGTTTTACATTATTAGACAGAAAAAATATATATATAAAAAGAAATATTTGAATTTCTTCTTTTCAACAAAAAAATATATACACTCATATCAAAATAATTATGTATCATTTATCAGTGATTATAATATTTTTAGATGCTTACATTTTTGTGTACAATTAACGAGATTACAATTAAAACAACACGTTTACAATCGCCGATTATCACGGGAAATCAATATGCTCTCTATATTCGTCGAATGTACATAAAATTGTTTTAGCTTAATAGCAGACGCCACATAAGGACGCCCAGCAGACGGTTTTTCAATTTACTGTCTGCCAATGTAGAAAACGCGCGGTTTTCCCATCTAAACAATAGCGATTCGGTAACAATACATCTGGAAATCAACGAAATCGAATTGAGATTACCTCCATTGTACGAATTCGACGCATGTTGAAGATTTGTTTTGGTGTTCATGATGGCATTTGCGTTCGCGGCGTAACTACATTCCTCCGTCTCCTACGAACAACAGGTTCCCCGTTTGTCGGCCGATTCTTCTTTCTTGTCAATCGTCACATTGCTGCCAACATGTGAAAACGAACATGAAGTCTGTTCTTTTTCGCTCAACTGGCTGTATTAGCTTGCACTTGTCCTCTTCACCTCTCCGAAGTTGATGGAATCGGGAATTATTGTAAATCCGAGCTTACATGCTTCGTATGTACGATATTCGTTAACAAATACATAAAAAGTTTGAAATTTCCTCCTTAAAACACCTGTATCACATTTTCGAATCAAATAATTTTTCGCTCTGAAAACTCAACTGAAAGACGAAATTTGAAATTAAGCGGTCGCCATTTTTCGTTTAACTCGAAATATCTTGACGAAAATTAACGACAACATTAATATAGCTAATGTGGTTAAGAACTAGAGACTTCAAGCTTTAAAGTGCTTCTTAAACGATCTCCATAGCGTCATTTTTACGAAAGTTATAGCTTGTTGAATTTCGCCTGTTTTTTTATTATAATGGAAAGTATATCTGGCAAACCCTTGAGTCATACTACTTGAGAAAGTACGTCCGGCTTCATCGTTTAGTCAAATCACGCCTCACTATCTCGTTAAATATAGTGACGACTCGTAGCGGAGATTTTGGAACTAAATTACAGAAATAACGGGTCTAATAATTCCATAAACCCGCTATTGTTATATCTTTACAAATATATGTTACTCTTACGAATCCTGCAACATTTACTTATACATACATATTTTTTCAGTTATTTAATGTTATATTTTCTGTGATAAAAGTGTTATTCAACAGAAGAAAAATTTAACGATGCCAATCTTTGCTCTAGACGTAAAAACAGTGAAGTTAATCACTACTACTCAAATAATAACTTCTGTTTATACTGCAGTGAAAGAATTAATAGAAAATGCACTTGATACTAATGCAGACAATATTGAAATTAATCTTGTATGTAATGTCAACATATTTGCAAGATATATATCTTTTGAAAAGATGATTCATCATTAGTAAATATATTTTTTTTTCTTTCAGGTAGATAACGGTACCTCATTAATAGAAGTAAAGGATAATGGTTGTGGCATATCTAAAGATGATGCACTATATATGTGTTTATCGTCCTATACATCTAAAATATCTAGTTTTGAAGACCTAGGTAATGTTTTATTTAAAAATGTTTCAATTATAAAAATAGTCACGTTTTTGGACTATATAACATAAAGTACTGGTAAATATAATAATGATATAATAGCATAAAATCAAAATAAGCATTAGATTATTATATCTATTAATATAAACAGATGTATTATATACATTTGGATTTCGCGGAGAGGCACTTAATGCATTGTGTGCAGTGGCAGAAGTTACCATTATAACAAAAACAATGGAGGATATTGTTGGAACTTCCTATACAATGAACCATGATGGACAAATCACACAACATGAACCTTGTCATAGAAGTACTGGTAAAAATCAGCTTGTTAACTTTTACTTCTTTTAAATCTATACAACAATATATACAACAATAATATATGCACTATATGCAGTTTCTTCATATATTTTAACAAAATATTAATTCGTTAGGCACCACAGTACAAGTAAGGAATTTATTTAAACAAATACCTGTAAGGAGACAGATGATTACCAATACAAGAAGAGCTAATCAAACTATTAAATTATTGGAAATATTGATACAAAGCTTTAGTATATGCAAACCGAACGTAAGAATTCAATTCAGAGCAAATAACAATGTTATATTTACAAAGCCAAGTTTGAATAATATCAAAGAAGCTGTGAATTATGTATTTGGTAGAAAAATTACATCTAATATGGAATGGATTGAACCAAAAAATATAGAAGTAGGTATATTTCTGAAATAATTTAAAAGATCAATAATATATACAACTTAATATATTTTTAGTTATTATTCGAGCAATAATTTGTACATGATTTATATTTTGATAAATTTTTAGTTTACTTTGCAATTAATGCTGCCTTCAAAACAAGTGCGGGATTTATCCGAAATTTCTCAATGTGGGTTACAGTATATTTTTGTTAATAATAGACCTGTTAAACATAAAAATCTTGAAAAGGTATGTGCTATTTATTAATTTTATTATTAGATGATGTTTAAAATTAGAAGCAAACTATGTATTATGTTTTAATATATATTTGTACATATCTCCTATAAATTCATGCTTTTCATAGATCACAATACAATACAAAAATTTACACTCTGTTCNTTATGTTAGAACCAATAAATATTGATGTCAATTTAGAACCAAATAAAGATGCAATTCTTTTCAAAGATCAGGTAAGATAATAAAATATATATATATATATATATATATATATATATAAATGTATATATAAATATTATAATTTATGTGTAATACTTAATTAATGTTTGTAGAATAATATTCTTGATACCATAGATAAATGCATAAGAACATTCTATGGGCTTAAATTTGTGAAGACCATTGAACAAAACGTATCTGATGACACATCTACCTGTTATGAAGATCGTATACTCAATACTAGTGAGGATTTTACGGAAACTGAATGGTCTGCTTGTAAAAAACGAAAAATGCATATTGAAGAGAAAATTCAAGAGGATATAATTAAAGAGAAAACAATACTTAAGCATAATAATATTACCACAAATGAGTGTGAAAAAACTTTTCAGGACAAACAACAGGAAATTAATCAGATTTATGATCAGCAGCATTATAAAGATGAATTAGCTTTAATAACTCACATACAATCACCGAACTTAAGTGATTCTGATTCAAATGATGCTTTTCCTGCTCCACCTTCATTTAATAGATCAGTGTATGTTTTTTGATACATATGTAAAAGGATTTTTGGTCTTTAATATCAATAGGCATATGAATAATTTATATTCTTAAGTAGTTCATAAATAAATTTCAATTTTCTCTTGTAGTAGAAGAGAGAAAAAGAGGGAGAGTGAAAATCTTGTAGAATTTATCTATATTTAGAACATCATAGACATATATAATATTCGGAGAAAATTGAAATTTCCTTCTAAATAATATATCAGTATTTGTATTGTATTAAATATAGATACAGGTAAACATTAAGTTAGTAATATAAATTACAGAGAAAAAGAACATGAAACTTTGAGCCAATTACCTGTAGTAGATCTTGGTGATGATTTTGACTATGTAGAAAAAAATCCAGAAACTGGAGACTTAAATATTCTTACGAACGAAAATAAGGATAACACAAGTGAGATACAGAAGATGAAACAAATATCTTTAGAAGCGTGGAGCAAAGGACATGTCCCTGGTCTCAAGGTGAAAATCTTTAATTATTTTATGATATCGCAATACATGTGTATATATCTTTGCTTTTTTTAAATTTACATTTGTTTCAATTATATCTCTGATACTATTATTAAATATGATAGGGTGGGACAGATATAAAATCTGATATTGCTGTTGAAAGACGGTCAAATGATAATTTCGTCAAGGAAAGTAATGAGACATTAGAGTCAAGTAAAATACGTGTCGACCATAAAGAGCTTAAATTTTTAAAACATGTTAGATCGCAAGGTGTGTATTATAACATAAGAATCATAAAAATACTATTCTTTTATATATTTATATTCGGTAATATTATCCATTAATGTTAGGGAAACCTTTACTGTTGCTAAAACAAAAATTACATTGACATTAATTAATTACCGCTTTTACGTTTAGTCGTAAAAGAAAACCCTACATTGACAACAGCTCAAACAGCCAAAAAAATTACTGAATTTTGGAAACAATTATCATCCGAAGAGCGTGGTTATTATCGAGATATTACAGAAGAAGAAGAAAAAGATGAAGTACGCGAGGCACGCCAAAAGTTTGAGGAGAAAACTGAAGTGAGTAAAATAGACGCGGAGAAAAACAAAAAAAGGCTGTTACAGTTGTTTGAAAAAATGAATACAAAGAACGAGAAGAAAGAGAAATTGAAGACAAGGACAATAGTACCATGGAACATTGACAGGGATAAAATAATAACGAGGTATTGTTTTAACCAACAACAAAAGATTACCATGTATTACTATATGTTTTATTTGTTAATATATGTTAACAACTTTTGCGAACAGATCAGATTTTGAAAACAATCATGTAATAGGCCGATTGACATCCAATTTATGGGTAGCTACAATTTGTGAACAGATATGGGTTGTAGATATTACAAGCTTGATAAAAGGCTTAAAAACGACCGATGTTAACATAGACAAGGTATTCTATGAAATGTTCTATATCAACTATATAAATTTTTTATATCGACTATATATTTTAAGATTATTTAAATGTGTATAAAATATTTCTCTTATTACTATTATTATTAACAATTATATGTTTAGATTGATGCCAAAAGGATTGAACAACTTCTCAAGCAATGGCTATTGAAACAAGATGATATGTCAATAATGCATTCAATATACGAATTTTCAAAAAATATATAGACCTAATGCAACTGATATAAGATGTCCCTTCTTAAAAAATTGAACAAGCATTTTATATATTTTAACATTTAATTATCTTTTATGTATAATATTTATTTTGTGTAGCAAAGTTTCAAATTAAACGTTAACTTTATTCAAAATTGTCATTCAATTTATATATTTAAATTTCAAACATATAACAATTTAAATAAGATAGCAATATATGTAATATCTGAGAGAGAGGGAGAAATAGAGAGATAAATTAGAAAACTATTCTCCCATAAGAATTTCAATGGACGCTTTTTTCTGATGCGCTCCCTGACAAATTGCGTAAAATTACTTCGTTACTCCACTATACGTACTTTCCGGGTAATGGTAAAGTCGTTTGGTTCGTGTCTGTTCTATTTTCACATGATAATAAGTCAGCTAAAGACGGTCAATAAATCATTCTGCCTCGTGCGGAGTCAAAAATGGCGTCTGATAAACAAAGTATGCTGAGAAAACGAAAGTTAGTAGATGTTGGAAGTGATTCGGATAATGAGACGGAAAGTGAGTATATGTAATTTTGTACGTTACAGTGTAATCAGTGATCTAAATTAATACGTTCTAGATACACATTACGGTTTTGTGAAACGCAAGAAAACACTGTTTACATGCTTTTTGAGGTTAAGTGACTTTCGGTGCGTGACGATTTTCTTTAATTTTGCAAGAATTTTAAATAATAGTATACATAATATTTATAAGCGTTGCTATATAATTATGTAAAAAGCAGTGATAACATCTTATTAAAACAAAAAAGAAAATAAGAGAAGAAAATTCTAAATAAAGAAGAGATATTATTTGACCATTATAAGTCTTACTTTTGCAGAGAATGAAAAACACGCAAGAACAAAATCAGAAGCACCACGACTGTGTCCGTACTTGGACACGATTAATCGGCAGTTCCTGGATTTTGATTTTGAAAAATTGTGCTCTGTGTCGTTGTCTAGAATCAATGTGTATGCTTGTTTGGTTTGTGGCAAATATTTTCAAGGCAGAGGAAGTAATACGTACGCATACACTCATAGTGTAGCAGAAACTCATCATGTTTTTCTTAATTTACACACGCTCAAATTTTACTGCTTACCAGATAATTATGAGATAGTAGGTAAGTAAATATATATTAGGTTTGCATGCTTTTCTTCCTCATCAATAAAATATCACAATAATCTCATTTATATGCGTCTATTTATTAGATTCATCCCTAGATGATATCAAATATGTGTTGAATCCAACTTTTGACAAAACACAAATAGCACAGCTAGATAAGAGCGATAAGCAATCTAGGGCAATCGATGGTTCCATGTACTCACCAGGAATAGTAGGGATGAATAATATAAAAGCCAACGATTACTGCAATGTCATTTTACAAGTAATTTATCATGATTAAATCTTGTTAATGACAATACTTTATGTATGTTATAACTTTCATAATTCACAGGCACTTTCACATGTTACACCATTGAGAGATTTCTTCTTAAGGGAATCTAATTATTCCCACGTAAGGAGACCACCTGGTGATTCGTCCTATCTCTTGGTACAAAGATTCGGAGAACTTATGCGAAAATTATGGAACCCGCGTAACTTCAAGGCACATGTAAGCCCCCACGAAATGCTGCAGGCTGTAGTTCTGTGGAGTAAAAAGAGATTTCAGTTCACGGAGCAAGGTAAGCATGGATTTTGTCAGTATGCGAATCTTTATTAAATCAATAAGAACAATAATCTAACTAACAAAGCACTATTCAGGTGATCCCGTTGATTTTCTGTCCTGGTTCCTAAATGCTCTTCACCTAGCGTTAAATGGGACAAAGAAACGTGACTCCAGTATAATTTATAAAACGTTTTTGGGGCATATGAGAATATACACGCGTAAAATACCGCCGTTGGAATTAGAAGAGAGTCAGAGGAGCGAACTGCTGCACACCGTTGAATACGGTGAAACTGTGACGGAAAGCCCGTTCTTATATCTCACATGCGACCTTCCGCCGCCTCCGTTGTTCAAAGACCAGTTCACGGAGAATATTATCCCGCAGGTTGATATCGCTATGAATAATTGATCAGATAAGTTGGAATTTTTAGGGGATGAAAATAAAATTCTCAAGTCTTTTATTCACACAGGTAAATCTGTATACGCTTCTGAACAAATTTAACGCCGTCACCGAGAAGGAATATAAAACCTACAAGGAGAATTTCATGAAGAGATTCGAAATTACTGAACTGCCACCTTATCTTATATTGTATATAAAAGTAAGTTCCGAATGCATTTATACTGCGTGTGAATGTCTAGGAACAAATACACATCTTGCGTGTGGCAATTTTGCTTTCAGAGATTCACGAAAAATACATTCTTCGTTGAGAAAAATCCAACAATCGTCAATTTCCCTGTTAAGTGAGTGTATATAACGTCTCGCTTATTAAATATTAAAATTGTTAGTAATATTATATTTGTGTATTTTTTGTACAGAAATGTTGATTTTGGAGATATTTTAACGCCGGATGTAAAGGCCAAACATCCATATACAACGTATGATCTGGTAGCTAATATAGTGCACGACGGTGAACCAGGTCAAGGAACATACAGAGTTCATATTTTGCATAGAGCCACTGGTCAGTGGTACGAATTACAAGACTTGCACGTCACACAAATTTTGCCCCAAATGATTACTCTCACTGAAGCATATATACAGGTGAATTGAGAATGAATACACTTATTCTTCTCATTTTAATTTATAACGTTTTGGTGCAACTATTATTTTTTCTTCCACAGATCTACGAATTAAGGAAGGATGTGCAGATGGAAAACGGGGACAATAAGAACAAAAAAACTACATGATAAATTCGACTTGTGAAAATAAGATAATAAAACTTTACATTTTGTGTAGACCTCGTTGTTTCGAGTTCTCTCGACATTTCCGTAACGAGCTCACGATATTTCAGATTTGATTAAATTTTTCTCAGTCGCTGATTCTTCTCGGTTGCGCGAATTTTCTGACTTGATTTATTCGAATTATCAACAAGTACTATCATTTTTTTCCAGCTGAACAATGGATTCATATTATCTCTCTGACAGAAGAATTCAGCCTCGTAATAAAAATTGTGCGTATAAAACAAAAATAAAATCCTACCAGTGTTTAGAGAAAAAGGTGGTATTATGGCCCCACTTATATTTTGTACAATAACTTTATCAACAATCATTATTTTAACTGAGAACCGAGTGATTACATTCGTCGAAATGTTCAATTGATTGATTCAGACTCAAAATTATGAAATATTTCTTATTCAAGACGTTATTTATAAAAATGTGGCGACACTGTATAATGAGTCGAAAAACTAAATCAATGATTCCATAAGTAATCACTAGAATTTCGAAAGGCTCCACAATAACACTTCTCTGATATTGGAAAAGCCGTGAACAAGCATTTCCCGTTGATCGGCGTTAATTCAGCGCGCCCGCCCCGATCTTAGCCGAGCGACGTCGAACACCGCCGAGTGGCTTCGACTGGCGAGAGTCGAGGAGGAACAGCGAGGTGGCGCTGGGGAGTTACGGAGATGCACGAGAGCGGCGCTGGGGCTGAGTCGCAGCCGGAGCGAGTCGGAGTTCGTAACGGACTGAAGCCGCGGCCGGTCACGCGAAAGCGGCGAAGCGGTTGAATGCGGTGTGACGCGCGACTCGTTGCCCGCGCGTACTTTCTACCCGTCGTGCATCACTCCGTCGTCGTTGTGTGACTCCTGCTCTCGCGCGTCTTCTCCGTTCCGTTCGTCGTACGAAAAAAAGTCAAAGCAGCGCGACACGGTTCGCGCGCGCCGAGTCGCGCTCGGGTCGCGCGTGTGCAGTGTTCACCGCGTTATATCGTTACTCCGCGTCTGTTGGATTACCGGCGGGCTCGACGCGGGACGCTCAACCGAGCCGGTGAGTACGATACGCAAGTAGTCCCGTGGCCGTTGCGCGAACAAGAAGTGACACGTTTGCGCTCCGCGACGATCTCTTCGCGATGGCGCCGTCGCGCCTGTATCGCGAATACGCAGAATCGAACGTCGTTTGAAATCCGTGGCTACCCGCCCGCGGCGGCAACGGCCGCGTCCTTCGCGCTCGACCTTCAGCCGGGACGCCCTCCGTCCCGGCGACGTCTCTCTCGAACGCGAATTCTAATTTTCGCCGCGGTTTATCGCCTGCAGCGAGAGACGTCGGTCGCGGCGACGGTTTAATGTCGGCGTCGCCGAGATCCGCGTTACACACTGCCCTATGCGTCTCCCTCCTCCTCGCGTCGTCAAATACCTGTTTCGCGCGACGCTCGAGAGAAAAAAAAACTGTTCGATCGCGCGTGGCCGTCGTCGCCGCGGAGAGAAGCAAGGTAGAGAACGTACAAACGCGCGCGCGCCACTGATCGCGGGCGGAAGGGGGAGGTGGTGCGTTGACTCTCGCGCGGAAGGATTCCGCGGGTTTCGGATTCCTAGCGTCCCGCGAACCTCGCGTAGACGCGTTTATCTCGCGCGCCTGACATGCGTTCGCCAGCCGTGCGAACATTTGAATTCCTCGAAGCGCCGAATTTTTCTCCGCGGTGCGTCCGCCGCGAAAGTTTCCTCGACATTCCGCGGCCGAACGATTCGTCGCGCTCTCGAAGTCTCTGTTCTCTTCCGCTGAACTGGCTATGCTAGTTTGTACTTGTTCTCTACTCCTCTTTCTTTCACTAATGCCCGTTTTTACTATTACGGTTGAAATCTAATCGACGATCACCTTGACGGAATTGACCGATCACATTAAGCAGTATACAGCTAATTGACCGATGCGACTGGCTAATTCCGTCGAGTTAATCGCCGATTGGGTTTAAACCATGATGGTAGAAACAAGCATAAGTCTTACTTGTATATCCGTCTCTTTTTGCTCCTCTAATGATAAGGTGGGGTCAGAGACGGCTTCGTTTATTTTACAGTGTACACGCATTGTTTCTCTCCTTGAATTCTTTCAATTTCTGGTTAACTTGTGGTTTACATTTAAACTGATGATAATGTGAAAATTGTGTTTCTCTATTTATGGGTACTCATTAAACTAATGGTTTTGTAATTCTTTAAATTTAATGATTAACCACGAATGGAAAAACACGATTCTTATGTTGTCATCAGGTTAAGCCTAAACCACAAGTTAGCCAGAAAATGAAAAACCGGATCTTAAGGAATTTTATTATTTACGTCTTTTACCCATTTTGTACATTGATTACATGAAAAATAAATAAAACAGAGCATGGGGTTGGATCCAACCGCATTTTTCCGGGTACGTTGAATATTCACCTTGCTATTAGAGGATTGAGTGTACACTAATTCAGCGAAAGAGACCTTCGATTCCGCGGAATTCTCGCGACGTTTCGTTTCGAACGCTTCGGCAATGTTTTGCAAAATCGCGCGTTCTCATTTGCGATACGAGTTGTCGTGGCGATTCGCATTTTCGACGCGTATCAGTGGGTTCGTATGGAACGAGTTATTCTATAAAAAAATTGCCAGTGGCGCGCTTTATTTCGCGCCGAGTTATCGCCTATGTTCACGGTGTACGATCACCTGAGGCCGGCGCACAATTTAACGACGCTGTTGTTGCAATTCGAGTTTGTATCATAGTGGTTATAAAAAGCTCGCAAAAATATCGCAGACATCAGCGCGAAGCGGGGATTTGAATGGAACGTAACGGTGTGTAAACAAAGACAGTTCGGAAATAGAGGTCATATTCGGGATTAATAATATATACACGCCGTTTCTCATACTATTTGAACAATACTCCACTTGGGTGTATACACTTTTGCCGTCTTCAGCGTGCGGATTTAATGTTTTCAATGCTTTTTGATACAGAAGAGATGATCGCGATACTTTCGTTTTCACTTACCTCGCATGAATAATGCAATCGGAGGATGATTATGCCGGAAAAATGCCGTTTTAATGATACAATTAATAAGCCATTCGAAACGGAAGTCCCTTTCGCGGGATCTTCCCGCCGACTCGAGGCGATCAATTCACGTGTGACGTTCGTTTGATTGATTAATTATATACCGGCTGCTGATTATCCGAATAGATCTCGGAATAAATTATAGCGGGTTCAGGATCTCCCGCGAAAGCCAGTTTACGAGTCGAGTTCCGTGTATTTAGTGAACTTGCAATAATTCCGGAACGTTGCCGAAGGCCAATTTTGACGTGGGTGTGCGGCAAATTGTGTAACCACGTACGACTCATCCCGTAGCATTCGCGGAAATGACAGAGACGCCTTAACGACGGCGACATTAATCATACCGGTATCTTAACAGATATTCCGATTAATGGAACGATAAGCTCACCGTTGTTAAAGCAGAACGAATGATTTTTCGGGCGCGAAACTTTCGGGGCACGTAGAGCCATTAATCCGCCTAATACATATTTCGAGAGATGTGTGTGTAGCGATACGTTTAATTATCGCAGTTTGAGTTTCTAGTTCTAAAGCCGTGCGTGATAAAATCTCTCCTCGCTCGGTGCTTTTTTACTTTAGGCGTGTGTGCGACTGGCTTGGCAGGCAGTCAAACGAGAAATCTGTTTTGAGGGCAAGTAGCGAAACATCTGAAATTAATCGATTTCGAGATACCTATATTTACGGAGATATTCGAATGAGGTACGTCTTGGGAAATGCCGACTTTTTATGCGCAAAGAACACGAAATACGTAACTTTTATTCCGTCGTATCTTTTTAATCTTCAACGTGCGATTTTTAATATCGCTTTCTCGGAACATGAATCTTCGCGAATCCGAGACCGATGCAATCCGTTAGAAATTTACTAGAAGATATAGAAAGTTCATTAACAAAGGAAAAAAATAAAATAAAACGAGAGAACCGGTATCTCTTCGTTAATTCACTCACACGGAGAAAATAAATTTTGCTGGAACAGCACATTTTTTGTTAATATAGTGGCAGCCAAAAAGTTTGTTTGGACGGCAGAAGGATTTATTAAGAGTATTAATTACTATTTGCTGAATATATGGACGGCAAAAATAATTTGGTTATGCCAGCTGTCGCAACAATGTTTCGCTTCAACGGCAAAATTATTTTTTCCGTGTAATAAGTCTTTTTACTGCCACTGTGTTAACAGACAATTTGCTGTTCCAGCAAAACTTCTTTCTCTGTGCATACCTATCTACGATAAGAAACAACATCGTAACTTTTCTCGTTCGAGTAGCTGTCTTCCCGCCGGTTACGTACGACAATATTGCTTTCCTTCGATCACGCTGTTTGCGCGCCAAGTTCGCGAGAGTACGAACTGCAAAGTGACGTTTATAACTGCGATGCATAACGCGGATGTAAATAAGGCCAGGTAAGAGGAAACGAGGAAGTGCGAGACTCGCCCGAGCAGACCGCAACTATCGTCCACGTCGCGACAGCAGGTGGTCGACCGTGCGCGTATATGCAACTACCTGTAATTGAATACTATATGATGATGGTACCTTACGAGGCCGCGAGATATCGGCGAATTGGGTTATACCAGTCACGATCCTAGTAGAAATCATTACGTGCATGCGGATACGTTTCTTGGCTGATAATTAGCGCCGGCTGAGGCCTGTTCCGCGAGGCTCTTCTTCTTTTTTCTTTTTTTTTTTTGTTTCGGCGAACGCAACAGCTCTGCGACTGACTCATCGGTCAGTCAATAGCGACGCTCGATTATCGTGTTTTCTAGAGAGAGAAAGAGAAAGAGCGAAAAAACTCTCACCGTTCTGAGAGAAACTGAGAATTAAATTCTCGAGAGACCACTCTCTCTCTTTCTTTCTTATTCTCTGAAGTGCGTGAGTTTTTCTAATATTTGTGATGAATATATTTGAATACTATTTTCAAGAAGGTATTCTTTGTTCAAAAGATAACTTTTATATTACTTAAAAGAAAAACATATAAGTAAATAAAAGTAATTGTTTTTCTTCGCAGTATATTTTTCTCTGTGTACGTTGGAAAAAGTTGGGAGAAACCACATGAGGCGCGTCGTTTGGTGCATATGACATTTTGGAACTTGCTTTTTTATTGAAAATTGTAATTTTTGAGGAAATGCTAAAGCTCTGAAGTAATGCTAAAATGCAGTGAAAACAGTTTAACACGGCTTACTCTTTGCGCTGTACGCGCGTG